TATATATTTTATCAATAAAACCGATCGATATTTATTATTGATTATATCGATTGAGAAAAAAAGCAGAAGAAAAATTAATAATAATAATAATAATAATGAAAATTTTTATCAAACTCTAATTGCAATACTTATAACCGGTGTTGGTATTGATAATATCGGTTTGTTTCCATATAATGATTCTTTCGATTGATTTTTTTTATCACCGTTTGTTGTTGTTGTTGTTGTTGTTGACAATTGAGTTTTCATACAAGATGATTCTTCGTGTTTGTAAAGATATGATTTTAATGCAAATGCTTTTCCGCATCTTCCACAAACGTGTGGTTTCATATTCGAATGAGTTTGTATGTGTGCTCGAAGATTTGATTTGTCAGCAAATGCTTTATTGCAAACTGTACACTTGAACGGTTTTTCTCCTGTAAAAAAAATAACAAATTTAATTAAAGTGCGTACGTGCGTGTATAAACGCGTGAATATATATCGAGTCGAAAAGTAATAAAAAAAAAAAAAAAAAACTCCTGCCGCCTGTTTGAAATTTTAAATTAAATATGGTCCAGGTGTAGTTTATGCGTGGAGGGAGAGAGAGAGAGTCTGTCTATCTAAAAATGGTTCGGTGAGATTTTAAATAGTACGCTAATTCATTATCGCCACAAGTTTTATTTTTATGCCTTGGTTGTTGTTGTTGTTGTTGTTATAAAACTATTTATAGATCAATTAATGTAACGAAAAGGAAACAAACGAATGATAGATTGAAAATCGTATTGAGAAGACATCATGAAAACAAGAACAACATCATCAGTTATTGAGCTTTTTTTTTTTTTAGGCGTACCTGTATGAGTTCTTATGTGTCCCTGTAGTAGCCAAGGTCTCGAAAAACATTTTCCACAATACGAACATTTACATCCTTGATTGTGTGTTCTCACGTGCATTGAATATGCCGGCATGGATACGTAAATTTTGTCACAATGAGGACAAGCTCGTGCTTTTTTATCTGCTAATGATCTGTGAGTTTGCCTGTGTCTGGCCAAATTACTGCTCGTACTGTAACGTTTACCACATTCCGGACACGTGTGTATATCCGTAGATTTATGTTCGATTATGGATTTCGATATGGAATCTTGTGATAGATCTTCGGGATATTCTTGTTCGGGTAATTTCTAAAAAAACCATTTCATTAAAAATTTTTTTTTTTTTTTTTTTTTTTTTTAAAACGTCCATTTTATGTATTTATTTACCTCGTAACATCCTTCGTCGAGTCTGTGTCTATAATTATTCCAAAATATTTGTCCTGTTGCTGCTGCCAAACTGACTTCTGCTAATTTAGTTAAATTATAAAATTCATCGGATGTATTGTTGTTATCCATCGTGATAGTTTTATTATTTTCGAAAAATAATTCCTCTTTATTATTATTATTATTATTATTATTTACGACGTCATTACATTGAAAATATTTATTTATTCTATGATATCGTTTGTTATTTACATTATTATCAATATTTTTTCGTATCGATTTTAATTTATTATTATTATTATTATTATTTTTATTTATAGGTAAACAATTAAAAACACCTGAACCTTCGATTTCTGCCGTTTTTACAAGACATTCTGGACTTTCATCTGTATAAAAAAAAAAAAAAAAAAAAAAAGGTTAGCCAAAATTTAATTTAATAATAATAATAATAATAAGAGGAGAGAGAGGGAAAAGAGGAGGCCATTGAATTTTTTTAAAAAAAAAAAAAAAAAAAAAAAACGTGATTAGCTAATAATTTAAAAATATTTTTTTAACGCATTAACTATTTCTTTGCGTTTTATAAAAAGTCAATCAAATTTTTTTTTTCTTTTTTTTTTTTTTTAGTTTTGGCAACTAAAACTAAAACTAAAACTAAAAAAAAAAAAATTTTTTTTTTTGGTTCCGTTTCATTATTTTGATTTATTTTTGGGACGATGAAATCCAAAAATTCAAACAGGTTTCAGATTTTTTTTTTTTTTTTCTAAACAAATTTTTATTTTATTAAATACGTGATTTATTTTAAAATAAGTATAACCCTCAAATCAATAATACCAACCGAACAGTAAAAAAAAAAAAAAAAATTCGTAGGAAATGATAAGAAATCATCAATAAAAATTAACGCGAAGAAAAAAAATTTTTTTCCGCGTGTGAATAAATTTGTGCAATTTTTACAAATGGTGATGATAATAATAATAATAGGTTTTAATTTATACGAAATGTTTACCTCTGTCGTATTGTACCTGTTCGTACCTTTTATGTGTTATTAAAAAAGCTCTTGGCATTACAAAACACAAAAAAATTTTTTTTTTTTTTTTTTTTTTTTTTTCGATTTCGAAAACCGCACTATAGTCTCACACTTTTTAATTTTTTTCGAAACCTTAATAAAATTAATAATAATAATAATAATATTCCCTAAAAATTAATAATAATAATAATAATAATAATTAAACATGAAAAATAGAAAAATAGAAAAAAAGTTGGATAGACCAATAATAAAAGCAGAAAAGCTTCTGAATAAACTCAAAGAACTAACTAACTAATGCCATCTTCCCCACTTTGAAAACTTTAAGCATCCTCCGAAAGAAGCAAAATAAATCTCTCTCTCTCTCTCTCTCTCTCTCTCTTTCTCTCTCTCTCGGGCACGTTTTTTTTTTTTTTTTTTTTTTTTTTTTTAGGGATTCGTGATAGTTATAAACTTTTTTTCCTTTTGCATTTCTTTTTGGAAACATATATTTTTCTTATCGATATTTATTGTTCGAAAAAAAAAAAAAAATTAATAATAATAATAATAATAATAATAACAGGTCGTACATTTTGATAGTAGATTGTCGAAAAAGGGAGAGGAAAACTTTTATGGGTGGTGGTGGTGGTGGTGGTAGTAGAGGGATGTACAGTTTGCTGTAGGTTTAAAAAAAAAGAAATTTTTTGCTGTAGGGGTAAAAATTGATGATGGGGGTGACATAATAAAGTTTTTTGTGTGTGTGTGCGTTTGTGTTTTTAGATTTATGTTTTTAAATAATTTAACGATTTGCTATCGTTCAATGCAAGTAGAGAAAAAAAAAAAAAAAAGAAAAAAAACTTGGGAGGTTGTTTTCCCCCCCTTGAATGTGGCGGCGCGTGCCACAAACACATGTTTCTCGCGTTATTTACCTCCACTTGCATCATTTTTTTTGTAATAAAAACAAAAAGTTCAATAGTTCATCATCATCATCATCATCATCATCATCATAATCATAATCATCATAATCATCATCATCATCCCTAAACAAAAAAAAATCATAATCAAAATCAACAAGTTGTTTTTTTTTTGTTTTTTCGTGTTCACATTTTTAACTTTTTTTTTTTTCAAAATGGCGAAAAACATATAAAAGGTTAAAAATGATTGTAATGAATAAATTTCTATTTGTGGAAACACACACACACACACAAAATAAACACACAAACACACACACAAAGTGAGAGCTGCGCCCATGTTTTTTTTTTTTTTTTTTTTTTGGCTAATTTCCATCAACCACTAAGATCATGAATTTTGATCTTTCTCATGTTGATGCTGTTGCTGATGCTGCGGATGCTGGACTCTTGAAAATTTTTCTTAATTTATTTTTCTTTCTTTTGTAAACGATAATGAAACGAAACATTTTTTTTTAAAAACGATTTAAATGTGAAATTTCTCTCTCAAAAAAAAAGTAACACGTTGCTGTCGTTTGATGGGGGGAAAGGGAAGGGGGAAGGGTAGGAGAAGAGAAGAGGGGGGAAGGGAAAACTTTTACGTGTAAATTTATTGTTAAATAAAATTTAAATTTTAATGAAAATCAAAGGAAAATTGTTTTTTTTGATTTTATATTCATTCGTTTTTGATCGTTTACAAATTTTTTTTTTTTTTTTGTAATCCAGACTTTTCTTTTTTTTATAAAAAACGATTTATTATTATTATTATTATTATTTTATGTTGGTCGTTGTATGTCTTAGGTAAAAAAAAAAAAAAAAATTATTTATTATTATTTATTCGAAACCATTTTGAAATCTGTTGCATTCGTTTCGTATATAAACATCCGTTAGTGATTCATCTTTTGATTTTTTAAAAAACTTTTTTTTCTTTTTTTATTGAGTTCATTCATTTTGTTTTTTTAAATTGAAATTTTTTTTTTTTTTTTTTTTTTTCTATTTAAAAACCTCCTAAAAATTATAAAAAAAAAAAAAAAAAATTTTGTTTATTCTTCTTTTCTAAATGATAGTTTTTTTTTTTTTTTGATAATGATTTTAAATGAACCTCCTCCGTACATATCATTTATTTATTTATTTATTTATTATTATTAGCGATGCCATTTTTTTTATATTTTTAAATAAATATCGATATTTAAATTTAAATTTATTAAAAAAGAAATTTTTTGCAACAGCTGTCGGTTAATTGCAAATGTTCATAAGCAGCTGTTACTTTTTTTTTTTTTTAAAAACAATTTTCAAAGCTTTAGCTATTCACCTGTCCTTTTCTTTCTTTCTTTTTAAAACCATTCGAAGCTTTTAAATAAATAAAAATTCGATTCATTGATTTTTTTTTTTTTTTGTATTGTAAAAAAGTCCGAGATTTTAATACAAAAATTAGATTTAAAAACCGTTATACGAATCGAACGTCACATAGTATAATGTTTAAAAAGGAATAAAAAAAATGGTAACAACAAAAAAAAATTTTCAAAGGAAAAAAATAATTAATTTCAGAACGTATTTTATTAATTGAAATTTTAAAAAAATAATAAATTTTTATTTCAAATTAATTACGAAAAGAAAACTTAAAAAAAAAAAAACGTTAAATTTTTAAAAAAAAAAAAAAAAAGGAAAAAAAAAATTATCACGTGAAATGAACCGTTAAATTTATTCCTTTTTTTTTTTTAACAATTTTGTCATGTTGGCAACGCGTCTATATATGATGTGTCATTGAACTTGAAATGTATTGTTTACTCGTATATAATTAATTTGTAAAACTTTTTTTATTTTTTTATTTTTATAATTTTTTATTTTTATTTATTTATTTTATAATTATTTTAATTCGGGATATATTAATTAATTAATTTTATTTATTTTATTTTTATTTATTTATGTAATTTTTTTTTAAAACAAGTTTTATTATATGTAGTGGTAGTAGTGGTACATATTAGAAATAATAGGAAGAAGAAAAATGGGAGCCACGAGACCAAATGAAAAAAGCACTGTTATTACATATTTTTTATGGTTTTTTTTCGGATTATTTGGCGGTCATCATTTTTATTTGGAAAGAGATATTCATGCTTTTTTAACATGGTCCACTATAGGTGGTGGTTTCGGAGTTGGATGGTTGAGAGATTTATTTTGTTTGAAAAGATATATAGGTGAAGCAAACAACGATGAAAATTATCTCAAACAACATATTAGTCGTATGAAATCGAATGGAAAAGTATGTTTAATCCATTAATTTATAATTCAAATGGAGATTTAAATTTCAAACTGGGTCAAAATTTCTCTCCAAAAATAATATACACACACTTTTTTATTTTAGCCTCCATTTTCTGTTACTCGTTTTTTGGGAATGTTATTTTTCGGTTATTATTTCGGATCGTTGGTCAGATATGCTATTCCACCTGAACCTATAAACGGTTTCGATTTGAATTTTTTAACCATTTTAGTACCTCTGGCTAATGCTATAGGTGAGTCGTGTAAATTCAACTGGGTAATTATGTGTCAGAGAATGAATTGGTAGAAGATGGGTAAACATTGTGACGATATGTATGAATTATTGCAGGAGTTTGGTTGGTGGGAAATATTGGTAAAGAAAAAGGATCAATATGGTGGTCACTAGCAGCTGCATATGCAGTTTATCCATTTTCAATGTATTTAGAAGATGAAACAACATGGTTTTCGCTCATGAGTGTCGCATCGTCATTGGCATTCGATCATCTATCAAAAGAATGGAGAAGAAAACCTAGAAAAAAACGTGATATGATTCATCGTGTAACAATTCTCTCGACATGTGGATTCATTTATCTCACTCTCTTGTGTAGTTTTATATTTTTCAATGGAAAACTAACAGATAGCGATGGAGAAGAAATTCCAATACAAGAAGCATTCACACATTTTTTCACATCTCCTTGGTGGGTCGATTTAAATCAATGTTTGTACGACACATACATATTCGCTCAACATCACGGTTTCTACGAAATATGGCAACAAATAATTGACTTGTCAGATCCGCATGGGGAAATCAACGCGTATAAAGTATTAGGAGTCGATTTGACATCTTCCCAATCGGAAATCACGTCAAAATGGAGAGCTCTATCGAAAGAATTTCATCCAGATAAAGTGAAAAATCCAGATTTGAAAGCGGCTGCACAAAATAAATTCATGGAAATACAACAAGCATATGAGATTTTATCTAAAATTAAAGCTCGTAGAAAAAGTAAAAATAAAAAATTTGCAAAAAGTCAATAACCTTTAGCCAAATTGATAAGTTTTTTTTTTTTTTTTTTTCATAACGATTTAATTTATATTTTTTTGGTTTTTGAGTTTCCGTCCTCACAAAAAAGGTTATCCATATTGGAAAGCAAGTTTTAAGTTTATGTTCTTTCGAGTAAAAACCAAAAGAAAAAAAAATAATTGAGGTTATACCATACTACAAAACGATTAATAATTATTATTATTATCATTACACATCACAAAATTATCAAACGCTTATGAATGATATTATTACTGTGATAAAGGCACATTGCAATTTTTTTACTTATTATTATTATTATTTATTTATTTGCATTTTTTTAAAAGTATTATTATTAATATAAAAGGGGCCAATCAAAAGACTGTTTTCGGTTTATTATTAAATTTAACATATCAAAAATAACAACAATAATAATAATAATAATTAATATTTATTTATTTTTTTACGATAAGGGATAACTTTTATAGTATTATTATTATTATCTTATAAAGTTTTAAAAAAATTTTTTGTTATTTTTAATACGAAATTACCTTGAGTATTAATAATAATAATAATACCGTTAGTAATTTTTTTTTCTACAAGAATAACGTGAAAAAATGTTTAACGATTCTTGTTACTGTCACTAACGGATATGATTCGTTGACATTCATAAAAAAAAATAAAATTATTTATTTATTTATTTATTAAAAAAAAAAAACATAAACCTGTTTTAAGGTTTCATTAAAACGAAAAAAAAAAAAATTTTTTAAATATTATTATTAACACGCATTATTTCTTTAAAAAATTGTTTATATTTTAAATTGTTAATATATATATATATTTATAAATAATAAATGCTCAAATTAAATTAATGACACATAATAATAAAAAATAACGGTTGATTATTATTATTTATTAATTTATTTATTGATTTTTTTTTTTTTTTTAATAAATAATTATTATTAGTTAATTTTAATTTATTTATTAAAAAAAAATCCAATTGGAAATGTTTTTAAAAATAATTTTATCGTTAAATTTTTATTAATTTTATGTTAAAATAATGAAGAGTGAGAGAAAAGAAATCAAAGGACGCAAAAGGAAACGGAAGTGGTGCGGAGGATACCGGAAAAAAGGATAAACGGTTCTGAAGAAAAACGCGAAGAATCGGTTACGATATGGAAATATAAAAATTGAAACGGAAGTAGATGTACAAACCTTAGGGATTTGCAATTACGAGGAGATTAAGTCTGATGAGGTGATAAAAGGAAACGTTGACTATTTAATGATGACACATAAATACCTAGAAAGGCACAATCGAGTCTACAATATCAACCGGAAGTATAAAAGGTAAGGATTAGTTAAAGAATGTTAATCTAAGCCCGGTTACGACAGAAGGTTCATCTACAGCTCTCCATGATCAACACAAATCCACACTAAAGGTATTGTACCACCCAACCAACCGGAAATCATCACAATCGCTGGAAATGGAACAAGTCAGAAAAACGGTATAAACTGATAGAAGTATTCGTACCTGTGGAAAACACATTACAAACGAAGATAAAAGAGATCGAAATAGTCAGGATGTGGACTGGCTGGTGTGGTACCACATTTAGGAGAGATTGTACTGTGACAAAGCACTACCAACATTCGAAAACTAAAGGAATCGGATATAAACCTGAAATGAACTGGAGTTATTAAAAATAAATATAAACAATAATTAAAAAGTATTAAATTATTTATTACGTAATGAATTTTTTTTTGCATTAAATATTATATCATCGTGTACGTCATCGTTTACGTCATCGTCGGTCGTCGGTTACAATTGAGACAAAAATATATAAAAAATCGAACAATCAATCAATCAATCAATCATTACATTATTATTAATAAGAAAAATTAAGGTATGGGAATTACAACAATGTTGTAAATCATAAATACGGATCGTAATAACGAATAAAAAAAAAATTACTTATTTAATTAATTACCTTACATTATTAATACAGTAATAATAATAATAATAATAATAATAATAATAATATATAAATGCGTTATTGGCACGACTCGCTAATTTTTTATTATTATTAATTATATATATATATATTTATATAATTATATTATTATTAGTGACGATAATAAATAATCGATTGTACATTTAATAAAAAAAAAAGTCGTTATATTAGTAATAATAATAATAATAATAATAGTTATAAAAAAACCGTTTGTAATAATTTTACAAAAATTTTTTTTTTTCATTGTTTTGTTTGTTTTTATATATATAACAAACAACCGTATAGTCGTTTGTTGATTTTTTTAGCGTTTCTTCATAAATTTTTTAAAAGATTGTTGTTTGATTGTTGTTGTACGAAACACTTTAAAATTTTTTATTATTATTATTATTATTTAAAAAAAAAAAAAAATTGTTTTTTCTTCTGTTTTCTGTAGGTGGTCTGATTTGTTTGCTCGTTTGTTTATTGTTTGTTGCGGCGTCCTCCACCTGTAAACAAACAAATAAAGGAAGTTTGTCGGTTAATAACAAACACGTGAGAGAGGTTAAATGAAATTTAAAAAGAGAGAGAGAGAGAGAGACTTCTCGTACCTCCTGTTTTCCTGTTGTTTGAATTACTTTGGTAATTTGATTTTGAATTTTTTCCTTTTCCGGTTTTGGTTTTGCATTTTCTCGTTATTTCCCGACTTTGTTCGCACGACGTGTCGCTATTTGGTTTCAATTTATCTATTCTTACGATTTGACTTTGACCGTTGCATTCGGACCAATTTCCTTTTTCATAACGGCAGGCTGATCACGTGACAGGGACGTCGTGGAAACAGAAAAAAAAATTTCGATTAAGGTACTCGAACACACCAACAGACGGATTTTTTAACAAACAACCAACCTTTTTTGCATTTTTTTTGGATTGTCTTTGTCGGTTCGCATTGTGTCGAATCACCTTTTTTTAACGTCAACGTTCTCGTTCTCAATGTCGTTTTCGGATCGCAATCCGTCCATGGTCCCTTTATATACCTACAAGGCTCTAAAGAAAGACAGAGAGAGAAAAACAATTAATAATAATAATAATAATAATTTTATTTTTTCTTTTCCAGTAACCAAATCAAATGACACGAACCGTTACCTCCGCCTCTACTTTTGGCACCTCTTTCGCTTCTTATCAAAACTTCGTGATCATCTTCTTCCCATATTTCTCCTTCAGCGGCAGCAACCGCAAAAAGGACTAAAAAAGCAGCCGTGAAATAATTCCACTTCATCCTGCGAATATAATAATAATAATAATAATAGTAAGAAGAAATACATGTGCAATAGGACGACATTTGGATTTATACCATCGTGTTGAGTCAGGTACGAGAGACAATTGTAGTGACAAAATAATAATTTTTTCATATTGTTTGTTGTTGTTGTTCCCAAATTTCAAGGTCATCCACCCGATCTTGCGTGCGTGCGTGAGTGCGTGTTAAAAACGCGTTCATTATGCGTTTAATATCATCATCATCATCATCATCATCATCATCATTATTATTATTATTATTATTATTATTATTATTAACGTTTTATCAAATTGACTGAATTTAACGACGACAAACAAACAAATTCTAATCGACCGATCGAATGTTCCTTTTTTTTTTGGTGGCACGGGGACAAACGTGTATGTATCGTTTGTCGTCGAAACAAACGGTTTAAATAAGGTTCGTTTGTTCGTATATGTATTTATGTAAATATGTACATACATAATAATGATTTTGTGTGTGTGTGGGTTATGTAATGAATCGTCGTGTATATATTTTGATGTGCTACGGGGCACTAAATTCTCTCCTTCCTGTCTTTTCCCTAAAGATGTTTATCGCCTCATTACATTTTCAATGTTGCCATACTTTCGTCTCGACACTATTATTATTATTATTATTATTATTATTATTTTATTTTTTCTTATAAATAATTATTCTTTCGTTTGTTTTAAAAGGTTTTTCCTGCCCTCCCTCTTTCCCCTAACGTTAAAACCTCTTCACAGATTTTTTGCTTTGGAAAAAAAAAAATTTCTTTCCTTTGTTCTCTTGTAAAAGGGATCGAAGACGACGACGACATTTTTTTTTTTTTTTATTTCACGTGTCACACACTAGCAGAAGAAGCAGAAGAATACGAACCGTGGTAGTAATAATAATAATAATAATAATAATAATAAATTATCGTATTGACTTACGATGAGGATTTTTAAAAGGGAAAAAAAAAAAAAAAAAAAAACGTGTCGCCTTTTTTTTTTTTTTTTAAACGGTGAAAGAATAATTTTTTTTTTTTTCTTTCTTTCTTTCTTTTTCTTTAACCATTGTTAAACAATTGAATAATAATAATAATAATAATAATAATAATAATAATAATAATAATAATAATGATGATGATGATGATGATGATGATGATGATGATGATGATGATGATGATGATGTGTGTGTGTCGAGTGTGAACAAGATGAGAGGATGCCACGAGATTGTGAACGAGTATTTGTTGTTGTACCTTTTTACAAAAAAGTCTCTCTCTCTCTCTCTTTCTCTCTCTCTCTCTCTCTCTCTCTCTCTTTCTTTCTCTCTCTCTCTTCCTTTCTTTCTTCCATTATGTATTATTTTAAATAGTTTTTTCTTTTTTTTTTTTCACTCTATTTAAAAATTTAAATTTTATATTCACAGGTATAATTTTGTTGTTGTAAATGAGTGAAGAGAGAGAGAAAGAAAGAGAGGGAGAGAGAGGGGGGAGAAGAGAGAGAGAGAAAGACAGAGAAAGAGATTTATTTATTCTTTTTTTTTTTTTTAAAAAAAACTTCCTTTCATTTTCTCAACGTTGGTAAAAAAAAAAAAAAAAAGAAAAAAAAATTTTTTATAAATACATTAAATTAAACTAAAAACGTCTTCTGCTTCTTCTACACCACCACTACCACCACCACCACCACCATCAACAAACAACAAACACATTTTTTTTTTCATTCATTCATTTAGAAAAAAAAATTGTTTTTAGAATTATTTAAAAAAAAAAAAAAAAAAAATGAGAGGAAGAATATTAACAACAACAACAACAACAAACAACAACCCCGTAAATGGATTTCATCCAACAACAACAAAAATAATAATAATAATAATAATAATTTTTTTTTTATTTTCAAATTCGAGCACGTAGATGTATATATATATAGAAATAATACGGGGTGTAAAATTTAATATTATTATTATTATTTTTTCTTGGTTACGTTTGATAATAATACTAATAATAATAATAATAATAATAATAATAATAATGATATTTAATTATATCTAGATTTATTTTACAAGAAATTGATAAGAGAAAGAAAAAAAAATTCTTTTCGTTGTTATACGATTAGTAAATGTTTTACTATTATTATTATTATTATTATTATTATTATTATTTCTCATGGAAAATCTCGTGTCGTATAAATTATTATTATTATTATTATTATTATCGTATCCTTTTACTTTTCCAACTTATCCCTTCATTTATATCCCTTTTTTCTTCTTCCCTCTCTGATCAAAATCAACTTTCACGCAATCAATCCTTTTTTTTTTTTTTTACCACCATTTTCTTTTTGGGGGGGGGAGGGTATTTTCGTTACCTGTCGTACGAATTACCACGTAATAAAATCGTATCGAACCTCCCCACCACCACCCCACCGCCGCCTCCCCGAAAAAAAAAAAAAAAAATCGACACAAACAATTTTCTTTCATACTACGAAAAAGAAAGGAAATGAATAATAATAATAATAATGATGATGATGATGATGATGATGATAAATTTATGTAATTAATTAATTTTTATAATAATTGAACTCATTTGTCAGTGTTGCCAAAAAAAGAAAAATAAAAAAAAAAAAGTCTTCCGGATTTTTTTTATTTTTAAGTAAATTTACGATTGTAATAAAAATGTTTAATTTCAATCGACAATATTAAAAAAAAAAAAATTAAATTAAAACACGCACTCACGCACACGCACACACGCACAACAAACAGAGATAGAATTTTTTTTTTTTTAGAATTAAAATAATAATAATAATAATAATGATAGAATATGTTTTAAGTTTAAATTTTTTGGATTTTAAAAAGTCGAGAAAGAAAAGGAAAAGGAAAAAAAAAGAGAAGAGAAGCAGAAGAAAAAGAATAATAATAATAATAATAATAATGATAATAATAATAATAATAATAATAATTTTACTTACCTTTCGACACCCGAATTTTTTTTTATAATGACAAACTAACTATAAGAAACACGTTTGAAAATTTTTTCCTTTTTTTTTTTTTTTTTTTTTTGGAGAATCCAAGTGTAGCCACCACGACGAAGCTCCAGCTCAAACTGAAGCGCAAATTGTTCAGACCATGTCAGCACATTCTCATCTCTATTGATCATTTCTTTCTTCTTTTCTCCTCCTTCGTCAAGCAGTCTCTCTCTCTCTCTCTCTCTCTCTTTCTCTCCCCCTCTGTAAGTACTGGACCAGATGCGCGGTAAGTTTGAAGCCAGGGGCGGCTTCAGACTTTTTTTTACTCTACCCGTACATACAATTTAACCTTTTCTTTTTTCTCCTTCCTCCCTCCCCTCCCCTCACATTAAAAAATGTCACACTTGACCTGTATTTAAATAACATTATGACGCTCTTAGCCATTTTTATTTAGAAAAACGTGTTTTTTTTTTTTTTAAAATATGTCTGACATTTTCTAAAATAATTTAAATTTTCTTGATGATATTTTATTATATTTAAAATTATAAAAAAATTTTTTATTGATCATTAATTTTATGTTTATATAAAAAATTATCATGAAAAAAATAAAATGGAAGTTATTAATTTTTTATATAATGATAGAATAAAATGTTTTTATTTATTTATTTGATATTAATAAAGGATAATTATTAATAATAATAATAATATTTCGAATTTATTGTTTTTTTTGGGGGGGGCGGGGGAAAAAGAATGAGAAAATTTATGTTTTGTTTTGTTTTGTTTTTATTCAAAACAAACGTCACGAAAAAATTTTTTTTTTTTTTTTTTTTGTTCAAATGTTGTCACCACTGATGTTGATAGAAAATGGGGGAGAAGTCGGTTCGACACTAATGAAATACATTATTTGAAATTAAACGTGTTTAATTTTTTTTTTTTTTTTTTGTGCGTGTTTATTTTTATTATTTTTTTTTATTATTAAATAAATTTATTTAAATTATTATTATTATTATGTTAAATTTATTTAAAATTATGATTTTAATTAAGTTTATATTTGTGAAAATAATAATAAATTTAAATTAATTATTTTTTTTTAAATAAATAAATAAATAAATAAATTTGACAAAAAAAAAAAAAAAAAGGCTGTGATGGTAAAAGATTATTTTTCTTTAAATTTGGATCCCATCCATGGGATTCCAAAAAAAAGTCTTTGGAGAGTGAGTATTCCCTTTATTAATTAATTAATTAATTAAATAATAATACTAACTATTAATAAAAAATTCTTTACTTAATATTTTATTAAATTGTTATTAGAAAAAAAAATTTTGAATAATAATAATAATAGTAATAATAATACTAAAAACTGTGTTTTATGTTTTTTTCAGTCTTGGAATCAACTTTCTAGGCTACAGAGAAGCTTAATTTATTTATTATTAATTGTTTTACTTCTTTTTCTTATCTATGTGTTAAATTTTAAAAGTTTTAATAATGATGATGATGATTATGATAATGTTATATCAGATAATAAAAATTCAATGTCTGACATGATTCAAAAAATGGCTCAATCGAATGTACCAAATGTGTTGAATGAACCTAAAACAACTGTTAAAATAATTAAAGAGAAAAATGTCGCGTCCAACATCAGCAATTCTTCAAATCGAATTATAGAATCGAATAATATTGATAATAGCTTTAATGAAATTGATGATGAAATGATGAAACCTTCGAAAGGCAAAAAAAAATTCAAAGGTCCGAAAAATGTAAGGCAGAGAGCTGTCGTAGCAGCATTTCAACATGCTTGGAAAGGTTATAAAAATTTTGCATGGGGTCATGATATGTTGAAACCCATCAGTAAAACATACCATGATTGGTTTTCGTTGGGACTTACATTAGTCGATGCTCTCGATACAATGATCATAATGAATTTAGAAGATTTTTACACCGAAGCAAGAGACTGGGTTCATAAAAATTTAATTTTTTCCAATAAAAAAGATGTTAATTTATTCGAAGTTACAATAAGAGTATTAGGTGGTTTATTAAGTGCCTATCATTTGTCAAACGATGTCATGTTTTTACAAAAAGCAGCCGATTTAGGCACAAGATTGTTACCTTGTTTCGATACAAATTCGGGAGTTCCTTATTCTGATGTTAATTTGGCAACGCTTCAAGCTCATTCTCCTCGTTGGAGTCCTGATAGTAGCACATCGGAAGTAACAACAATACAACTTGAATTTAGAGATTTGAGTAGGAGCACTGGTAATCCTAAATTTGAAGAATCAGCAGCTAAAGTTTCTTCACATGTTCACGAATTGGAAAAGACTGAAGGTTTGGTACCTATTTTCATTAATGCCAACACTGGGGATTTTCGTTTGTATTCGACAATTACACTCGGTGCAAGAGGTGATAGTTATTATGAATACTTATTGAAACAATGGATTCAAACTGGTAGAACAATCGATTAGTAAGTTTTGTTTTTTAAGTTAAATAAAAATGTGATGATAATTTATTTATAAAAACCCCCTCCCCCCCCCTTTTTTTCTAGCTTAAAAGAAGACTATTTAGAAGCTATAAATGGAGTACAAAAATTATTAGTTCGAAGAACATTCAAAAAAAAACTACTTTTCATAGGGGAATTATTATCAGGAGGGAAAGACTTCAAACCTAAAATGGATCATCTCACGTGTTACTTACCCGGTACTCTCGCATTGGGTGTCATGTACGGAATGCCTAAAAATCACATGGATTTAGCCGAAGAACTTTTGTACACGTGTTACCAAACCTACGCATATCATCCGACGTTTTTAGCTCCCGAAATATCGTATTTTAACGTTCAAGACAATTCTCAACCGGATATACATGTCAAAACAACCGATGCTCACAATTTATTAAGGCCGGAATTTGTTGAAAGTTTATGGATAATGTATCAGATAACCGGAAATACGACTTATCAAGACTGGGGATGGCAAGTATTTGAGGTTGTCATTCATATCAATATTATTATTATTATTTTTTGAGTCTTTTTTTTGATTGGATTCAACTATTCAACACGTGTTTGTAAACAAAAGGAAATTCTATTTTGGTTCCTCTTTTTTTTTTCCAGGCTTTTGAAAAATTTACAAAAGTTGCAAACGGATATACCTCGATAGGAAATGTTAAAAGCGTTGCCAAAACAAGGCCGAAAGACATAATGGAATCGTTTTTCCTGGGGGAAACGTTAAAATATTTATATTTGCTTTTCGGAGATGATAGACACGAATTAAGTTTGAAAGAATTTGTTTTGAATAGCGAAGCACATCCGCTACCCATTTATACCTCATGACCTTATCATATTTTTACTAAGGTAATTTATCATTATTATCATGTTTTTTTGATTTAAAAAAAAAAAAAAAATTTATTTTTTATTGGTTTTTTCGGTTGTTTTCAGGAAAGGATAGCGTATTGGTAATAAGGGCTTTAATTAATATAAACGAATAATTAGCAAAAAAAATAAATAAAAATAATCATGAATTAAATAGGAAAGGGAAGGAGGAGGAGAGGGGGGAGGGGAGGGTGCGAATGGTTGAGGACGTCACGCCAATAATTTTCCGGTAATGCCTCAATCGTCCGGTCGTTTGTCAATTAAGAAAATCAATCAAGTTTTTTTTTTTTTTACGACAACGACGAATTTAAATCTCTAATCGATTTTATTATTATTATTATTATTATTATTATTATTATTATTATTATTATTATTATTGATTTTACAGGAAGTATCAAAAAAAAAAAAAAAAAAAAAAATTTTTTTTTTAATCGGGAAAAATTTTTCTAGTCATCGTGAAGTGTGTGATTATCGGTTGAAACATAACATAAAAAAAAATGTCATAAAAATTTTATTTTTATTTTTTTTAATGCTATCATAAATCACCGTGAAATTACGAACGGGAAATTATTATTATTATTAGTATTATTTCCCCTCGCTCCCCCCCCCCCCCCCCCGTACGCAACGTCGAGCGTAAAAAAATAATGATAATAAACAATACGAAGAGTAGTAAAATTTGTTTTTTCTTTAGGTAATTCATTTTTCTAGCGTGTTGAGAAAATTGCAACGATGATGTATTTATCATTATTATTATTATTATTATTATTATTTCTCTCTCTTTTCGTTTTATTATTATTATTATTACGATTGTTTAAAGTAAAACGAACGAGTCGCTACCTCTTAATAATTTCTTTTAAAAAAAAAAAAATCGTTTTACACACGTTTCTTGCCCTCTTTTTATTTTCTCCTCCCCCTCTCTCTCTCTCTCTCTCTCTTTCCCTCCCTCTTTTTACCTCCCATCATATTATTAACAAAAATTAATTAGGATTTTATTAAAATAATTTATAAATAATTCAAAATAAAAAAAAAATGTAAAATAATAAAATTTGTATAAATTTAAATAGTTTTGTTATCGGAAAACACGTGCACGCACACGCACACACGTGTATGCGTACATATACGTAGATAATAATAAAAACGGACGAAATTTTTTTTCCGAATCACTCGTCAATTTCGAAACGAACAAATAAAATAATAATAATAATAATAATAATAATAATAATAATTTTAAAATTTATATATTTATATAGATAGATAGATAGATGGATAGGAAAGCAGTAGTTTATTATAAAAATAATAACGTGCAATTTATTATCACCATCGTAATAATAATAATAATAGTAATCATAATCATCATAATCATCATCATCATCATCATCATCACCATCATCATCATAATCGTTGATTAAAAAATAATTTAAAAAAATAAATAAATAAGAAATGAAATTTATTAAAAAATTGTATTATTATTATTATTTATTATTTTTATTATTATTAAATTATTATTATTATTATTATTATTATTTTATTAAAGTTATTATCATTTGAATTAAAAGGACAACAATGGGAAAGTTAACGAAATAACAATTATTTATTTATTTATGTATTAATTAAATCGTTTAATTAAAATAATAATAATAATAATAATAATAATAATAATATTTATTAGTTCGATTAATTAAGACGCCGTCGGCTTAATAATAATTAATAATAATAATGATCAATTAAAAAATATTTAGAAAAAAAAAAAAACGGAATCGTTGACTTAATAAATAAATAAATAAATAAATAATAATAATGATAATATTAAAAAAGACACAGGATTGATTGATTGATTGATTGATCTATTGATCGATCGATCGGAATAAAAAAATTGAATAAAATTTTTTTTTTTTTTGTTGAAAAATAAACTTTTATTTATTTTTATTTTGTTACAAATTTCAATAAAATAATAATAATAATAATTATTTTTTTTTATTAAAATATTTATTTATTTATTAATAATTATTGTTTATGTAGATTATTGCTATTGTTATTAAAAAAAAAAACATGTTCTTTTTTTTATTCAAAGTTCACTTATTTATTTTTACATTTATTGTTTATTATTATTATTATTATTATTATTATTATTATTATTATTATAAATAATACTATCATCATTATCAATTATTATCGTAATTATTAACAAAAAAATACTTTACTTATTCACGGTATTATTGATAAATTGTAAAACACTATCATCATTATCATTATCATAATCATAATCATCACTTTTTTTTTTTTGATTGTTTGTAATGTAAGTGCGTACGTTATAACAAAGTGTTAAGGGTTGTTTGTTGTTAGATAATTTAACAAACAAAACAAACAAACAAAAAAAAATTGGATTTATTGAACACTACTGTATTTGATATCACCTGGTACCTTTTTTTTTCGTTTCGGGTAGAAAAAAAGGTTCATTTTTTTTTTTGTGAGGTACGACGTAGGGGGATAGAGAGAGAGAGAGAGAGAGAGAATATGGTAAAAGGTTTACGGAAAAACCTTTCATATCGAAAAAAAAAAAAAATCAAGAAATAATACACTCGCAACACTGTATAGTGTAATAAAGACATTGTACGATGCAATCGTTATCCACGTCATTATCATCACCGTCGGATTTGTTTAAATTTTTATCTAATTTTTCCGTGTTTTGAACATCGTCTTCCGTAATGGCTTTCGTTTTGTACAATGTTTTATTGTGATATATGTTACCATCTTGTTCGGGATCGTCTGCTTTTTCTATATCGTCTTCCGATTCTAAAATTCAAAAAAAAAAAACCGTTAAAATTTTTTAAATTTTCCAAGGTTGCGATAAAAATTTTAAAATTTGGACGCGAGAGCGCGCGCGCGTCGCGCGCCCACTCACGTACGCCAAAAAAAATTAATTAATTAAATAAATAAAATTTACCCGTTAATTCTTTGAAAAAAATAGCTCTAGCAAATTTTATTTTAGTTCTATCCATTTTTTTTTGAAAAAACGAATTTTATAATCTGACCCGATTAAATCAACTGAAAAACTGATGAGAACGAAAAAAAACGAAACGAAACGCGGCGTTAATTTTTAAGGTATTTGCCGTAATGATTTTTAATTATCACATTTGTTTTTTTTTTTTGATTTACGCGTCAGTTATGTAATTCTTTTGAATCGTGAATTAACATTCAAGCTTCTTTTGCTACGATTCATTAAATTAAAAACAGGTGAAATGATTTTATTTAAACAAAAGAACGAACGAACAAACGAAATAAAACAAATAAAAAATAACGGAAAAATTTTTCTCACGTGACCGATGACGTTTGCTAATTTCCTATATAAATAGTTAATAAAATAGTCAATAGATGGCAGGTCGATCGATTAAAATTGTCAATTTTTTGTTTAGTTTTCTGCTGCTGGTCGTAACGGAAATTTTTCCCGCGTACGGTTTGTTTTGTTTTTTTCAAAACAGAGTGTTTTAATTAATAATTATTATTCGTACCTGATCTTTGTCTATCCGAAAGTCTTAAAGTACTCGTTTTTGAAGGTTCTTTAAGTGAAGGAACCGTCGGATTAGATTCGTTCGCTCTAAAATTCGGTTGTTTTCCTTCTTCCACGACGATCAACATGGAGTCCTTAACTCCTTCGGATGATTTGTTATTGTCTTTACCTCTGAACGCGTATTCGAAATCCGTTTTATTATTATCATTTATCGGCCGTTTGTTATTAATACTTTCCGTCGATGAAGAAATAATTTTATTTAATGGCGGTGGTGGAGGCGGTGGCGGTTGAAACGTCGGCGATGGCGGACTCATTGAATTTTCAATTGTTTTTATTCTCACTGTCGGAGGATTATGTAAATGTTGAACGTGTGAACTAATCTGAAATCCATCTCCCATGGATTCATAATTATTGGTAATGCTCTAAAAATTTATTATTATTATTATTATTATTATAAATACCATCATCATCATCATCATCTGTTTGATTTTCATCACTTACAAAAATATTATCCGAATTGTCACCACTTCCCAAATCCATGGTTCCTCTGCATTGTATTGCTTTATCAACCATTTCCTCTCTTTGTATACTTTTGTCAACCATTTCCCGCCTTTGTACGGCTTTGTCAACGACTTCCCTTTTTAATATTGCATTTCCCCCGATGAGACTAGTTTCTCGAAGATCGTGTATTAGTTCTTTTCTTTTGGTTGAAGAGCCAGACATCATTATCCTACAATCACAATTTTCTCTATCATTATTATTATTATTATTTTTATACGATACTATCATTTTGTGACGATCGATCACTAAACCGTCCGTTTTTTTGTGTACTATTAAAAGAAGCACAAGAATTTTAATGACGAAAAAAAAAAAATGGCGGGGTCAATTGAAAGATGTTTAAGTCAATTGTTAAGCTTATTATTAATTTTTCTTTATACAAATTATTATTAATTTATTTTATTAACGTTACAAAAGGGGGAAAAATTCCTTTGTCCTTCTTCCTCTCATTTACCGGTGAAAATTTTTTAAAAAATCAGGATGATGATGATGATTTAATAATTTTAACGTAATGTTAAGAATTTAATGTAAACGTACGTACGTGAATCGAATGCGCGGTGAATATTCTCGAAATATTTTTTTTTTTTTACAATGACAAAATCACAACAAACAAATACGTCATACATATATAAATTACGTACTAAAAAAATCACTATTATTATTATTATTAAATCAATCGGTCGTAATATTATGGAGGAAGAATCAACAGACCAACCGACGTTTGGTTGGTTCGTTGGTTATTAACCTTGGGGGGTCACAAAAAAAAATCATTTAAATGAGATAAGTGGCGTGTAAAGGAGAAAACAAACGAAACAAACAACGACAACAACCACTTAACGTTCTCCGCATAAAAAAAAAAAAAAAAAATTTTTCTTACCAACGTATCCAAAACCATTTTAATAAATTTATATGAAACCAATTTTTCCATAATTTAATCATTTAATTATTATTATTATTATTACGACAACAACAGCCACTGTTTGAAATTATGATTATTATTAGGTGATATGTAGACGACTGACTGATGATGGCCGTTACGATTTTGCAATTTGAATTGTTAATAAAAAAAAATTTTTTTATCTATGTTATTAAATATTGTTACCGAAGTCCTATCAATTACTCTCTCTGTTGTCTCTTTCATATGGAAAAACGAAACCGTATGAAATAGAAAGAGAGAGATAGACTCATTCGAAACCTGATTGATTGATTGATTGATTGATCGTTCTAACGAAATTTTTTTTGCACGTGCGGAGAAAACAACCACATCACACGTGTTTCTTATTAAAATTTTAAAAAAATTTATTAATTTTCATAAGCAATTATTATCAAGTATCAAAAATTTGTTTGTTGTTGTTGTTGTTGACATAAGCGAAACATTACACCGATTTGTCGACCGTCGTTTGTTTTAAAATATTTAGAAAACAAGAATTAAATTTAAAACTTATTTCGCGTTGATTATGTTTAAAACATACATTTTATGTTTCTATTTTGTTTAATTAGTGTTTTTTTTTTTTTTTTGTCAAGTTTGCGAGTAATTAAATTTTGTTTAAATCGTTGAAATCCGCCATTTAATTTTTAAAATTTGATGACGTCACGCGTAAATGGTGGTGGTGTTGGTACCACCGGAAAATTTCGGAATTTGTTACGGAAACGATTAAGTTTAGAAAAATTTTTTTGTTACTAAAACGAACAACAACGAATCTTCTTATGTTTGCCATTCTGCATTTCGTATTATTTTGAATGATTGATTGATTGATTGAAAAAATGAATTCATTATAAAAAAATTCTCAATTTCCGCGAATTGATTTCATTAATGAATTATTATTATTATTATTACGATCGATTATCGCGAGGATTATTATCCGGGTATAAATAATAAGTAATAGGATATCGTGAAAAAATTATCGAGATTCCACGACCGGAAATGCGAATTATTAGAACCGTTAGAAGGAAAAAAGTGTTTGTCGTGACGTCACTGCGTAGTTTTCAATATGTCGCAGACTCTCTGTTATCAAAAAATTCTAGAAAGTTTAAAGCAGACGATGGTAATGAGAAGATTCGCGTATTCGTATTAAAAAAAAATTGTTACGATATTCAAATGTTTGTCTAACGCAAACAAACAAACGGAAACGGTTAAAAATCATCAAATGTTGTTCTCACACACACACACACCTTCCCCCCGCCATTTTTAAAAACGAATTCTCGCGTAATTACACGTACCTCGAGAGGTAAAAACCTGACGAAATGAATCGGAAATCAATTTCAACGATACAAACAATAAAGCATGATCCGAACAAACGCACTAACAAACTAACAAACAAACAAAATAATTCGAACCTGAAAATATCTCTCAAATCGATAACGTCAGAGAGTTTAAAAGGTGAAGGTTTTTTATCAATACCAATCATTTACGAGAAAATAATAAAAAATCGAAACGTTTCCTCGAATAATAATAATAATAAAAATTAAATGTCCGATCATAGAGAGAGAGAGAGAGAGAGAGAGAGAAAGAGAGAGGAAGGTTGTATTAATAATAATAATAATAAAAATAAACTACTATTTTTTATACACGCGTATAACCCACGCACTAAAACACCACCGCCGAAATAGATTCCTTTTGTAATTATAATAAACCTGGAATCCGACATTATAATAATAATAATGATGATGATGATGATGATGATGATAACGTATTTAAATGCGATGAGTATAACAACAACAACAACAACAACAAACCATCGTCTGGAGTTTGTTACGTAACAAACTTGTTTATTAAAAATCGTACGTACGTTTTATACGACATGTCAATGGAAAATGACGTGAATTAAACACTAATAATGATAATAATAATACTAATAATAATAATAATAATAGTAATAATAATAACGAGCGAAATTCTTACCAGAATAATAAACCGTATCGAGACTAATGTAATTTTCATAAAGTTTAAATTTTTTTTGTTGTTTCTCGAAACTTTTTTTTTTTTTTTTTTTTTCGACATCAGAAACTTATTTCGTCGTTCTCGGGGCGTACAGGTAGACATAACAACTCGACGTCCTTCAACCTGATTTTTTTTTTTTTTTTTTCGAGTATTAATTTACTTTTTTTTTTTTTTTTTTTTCGGGGAAAACGGGGGTCCCGTTTGAATATTTTTTACGTAACCAGGGGAGGAGGCTTTTACATACTTTTTTTTTATTATTATTATTACTATGAATACATGAATACGTTAACTGATAAATAATTAATAATAATAATAATAATAATAATAATAATAATAATAATATTAAATAATTTTAAGAGAGAGAGAAAGAATTTACCTTTTTTTTTTTATTCTTCTTTCTTTTTGTTTACAAACAAAGACAGATACTCCTGACAAAACTTGTGTGTAAAAAAAAAAAAAACTTATTTAAACAATTCAATAAAAACCCATCGAAAAGTAATAATAATAATAATAATAATAATCGCGTCGATAAAATAAAATCATCGTTAATGTTCGTGCAATGTTCATGTGGGAAAAGTAAAAAGAAAAAAAAATTTCAGATATAAATTTATTATTTGATATTATTATTGTGTTTTTAATAACGCGAAACGTAAATAAAAATAAAAATGGCGACGTGTAAATAATAATAATAATAATAATAATAATGAGAAAAAAGAATTATTTAAAATCAAAACAAGTTTACAAAAAAAAAAAAAAAAAAAAAAAAAAAATGGACGCCGTTGTTATTATTAAAGAATTTTAAACAAATTTAAAAAAAAAAAACGAAAACATTTTTTTTAAACGTTATTATTATTATTATTATTATTATTATTATTATCATTATTATTATTATCATTATCATCATCGTTTAGTAAATTAATTATTACCTGGTTTTGCATTTTGTTTCTAAAACTAATTAACTCCGTGATAAATTCGAATTCCATAACAGTGGAAGAAGACAAAATAAAAATTTTCACGCGCACTCACACTTTTGACTCATACACGACGATTTTTTTTTTTATAAATTTTAAATCAATCACTGGAACTTTTTTTTTTTCTCCAAAATTTCTCCAAAACAAAAAATTTTTAACTCGTTAACAAAAAAAAAAAAAAAAATCTTACGGACGTAACGATCGTTCAAAGTCTTAATAATAATAATAATAATAATAAAAATAGTTATAGAAAAAAAATTCAAGTTCGACCAGGTTCGTCGTTAACATATACTACTAATGCGTGAGTTTTATGCGTCGCGTACAAACAAACAAACAGACAAACAACCAAACGTAAATATTTTACGAGAATTTATAAAAAAAAAAAACGACTCGACTCGAATTTATTTAAAATACACGTCGATTAAATGTTTTTTTTTTTTACGGGGGGTTCGAGGGGGGTGGAATGGGTGGGTGGGGCTTTTCTTTAAAAAAAAAAAAAATTTTTTATTTTTCAAAAGTTGGCAAATACAAAAAAAAATTTTTTTTTTTATTAATAATAATAAACTTGTTCGGATCAGGTTCGAACAAGTTTCGGTCACGTTTAATTTATTAAATCGTCATCATATTATTATTATTATTATTATTATTATTATTATTATTGTTATTATTGTTATTATTATTATTATTATTGTTATGCTTACCCCTTGTTTGTCGTTGTCGTATCCTTCGGCAGTGGTATCTTCATTTTTTAAATCTTTTTTTTATTCTTTCGAATTGTACGAATCAATGAATCATTCGTCGTTTTTCTCTTTCCACGCACGCACGCACGCACACACGCTAAAAAAAAAAATTTTTTTTATGATGAACAAACAAACAAACAAACGAACAAACGCACGAACAAACGTATAAGAATAAATTGTGGGAACCAAAATATAAAAACCTTACTCTTCTGACTCGTATAAATTACTGAAAGAGAGAAAAAAAAAAAAAAAAGAATTAACGGGGAGGGGAACACACAAAAAAAAAAAAAAAAATTGAGAGAGAGAATTACAAGATGGTCGAACGTTCAGAATCGTATACATATAATCACAGGCCTGAACAATTTTTTTTTTTTATTAATAAGTAAGAGAAAAAGTTAATTTCACGTTGTTTTAACGCCTTACACGCGCGTATATTTCTAAATTATGTTTACGTTTTTGTTTTTCTTTTTCTTTCTTTCGATTATTATTAATATCGATTAATCGATTTATAACGAGAAAAATATCTCGATGGATAAGGAGAGGGAAGGGGAGGGGAAGAGAAAGAGAGAGAGTTAGGTTAGTGGTAGTTGAAGGAAACAGGAAAGGTTGTTACTTTTTCTCATACCTTTTTTTAATTTAATTTAATTTTTCCAATAGATGAGAAAAATCTAACGAAAGATGCGTTTGTCCGTTTGTTCGTTCGTCTGTTTGTTTGTTTGTTTGTTATCATAAAAAAAAATCCAATGAAATTACAAAGTGAATGAACGCACTCTCTCTCGCGCACTAAATATATATATATATATATATATAAATTTAATTCGTTTACTTGACGATTCTCTTTGAATCCGCGTTCGTTTGTTTGTCCATTAAAAAAAAAAAAATCAAAAAAGCAGAAGACTCCGACGATTGTCGTTGTTGTTTGTACGAGGGTTTCTCACATCCTACTACTACAAAAGGGGAGGTTGCTTAACTTTACATCATCTCTCTCTCTCTTTCTCTTTCTCTCTATTAAGAGAGGGTGAAAAAACCTCATACGCGGTCACATAATGCAAAGTTAGTATAAAATTTCAAGGTTATTGTCTGAATCAGGGACGAAATAAGGATTTAAAAAAAAAAAAAATTAAATTTCTTTTGTTTATAATAGGACAATATTTAACTCCGGTTGTTAGTATAAATATTTGGTAGATTTTTAAATGATCAATTTGACGTTTACCTGTTTGTTTGTTTGTTTGCTTGCTTGTTTGTTTCTTAACAATTTTATTCTTAACCCCCTGTCGTGTTTTTTTACTTATTAAAAATTTTGATAATAGATAATAATAATAATTTTTAAAATTGTTTTTTTTTATAATGTGGGGTCGTTGTAAAAAAAAAAAAGTTCAGTGACAGTGTTGCAAACATTTAAAAAAAAAAAAAATTTACAGTCGGATGATTGTGGGGAACCATAAAAAAAAAAAAAAAAATTTAAATTCTTTTTTTAATTTTGCGACAATTATCGAATCGTAACGAAATAACTACAACCCTACAACAACAACAACAAAAGAATGTGCGGTTTTCCTACGGTCCTGATTTTAAAACCTTAATGTCGGATCATTTTCTTTTGGTTTTGTTTTCTTCTTCTATTCTAAACCATGATTTAACTTTTAAAAAAATAACTTCTCCCGATTAACCATTCAACAAACGACAAACAAACAACAAAAACAACACAAAGTAAAATTTATTAAAAATTATGCTGACACGTGTAATAATAATAATAATAATAATAATAATAATAATAATAATAATAATAAAACGTTTGCTCGTGGCAGTAAAATTATTATTATTATTTTTTTTTTTAAATTACGTAACGTTTTCTATATGCGTCCAGATTAATGTGACTAAAAATTTAAATGGTTTTATAAAAGGAGTGGGGGGAGGCGGGGAGGGGGAGGGAGAGGAGGGTGATAGGAGCGGTCGAAAAACTTATTGATAACGTTATCACAATTATAAAAATTTTTATTATATTTTGTCGCACGCGTCGAAATAAGTTTTGGGGAAACATAAAAAAAAAAATTCTTTTTTTTTTTTTCTTAACTTGTTCGAATCCGTCGTTTGTTGTCGGTTGTTGATTGTCGGTTGTCGTTTGTTTTAAAAGAATCTTTAATAATTCTCATTTTAATTACGATTAATTAAAATTTTTTTACTTAATTTACCAAAAAAAAAAAAAAAACCTTAAACTTTAATTATACCTGTGAGTCGTTCTCATAATTCAAAAAATATGTACGCACTCACGTAGTGGTGCCAACATTTAAAAAAAAAATGTTTTAAATTAATATAATTAATAATTCACTGGAATTCGTTTCGTTATAATAATAATAATAAACTTGGACTTTAATTGGAAATCAAATTAAAACTTTTTGTTAGTTAAAATCTTTTGAAAACTTTAACTTTTTTTTTTGTAATGGTGGTAGCTTTGAAAAACGATTGTTAAACTTTAGAATAATATATATCTTATTCATATTTACAACTTTGTTGAGTTATACGTTATCACGACAATTATAAAAGTCAAATAATAATAATAATAATATTTTTTTTGTTAAATAAAGAAAATGTAAAATTTAATTTAATCATCGTCATCGTTTTCGGGTTTTTAAATTTCGAGCCAAAAAAAAAAAAAAAATGAAAATGGCGGGAAAATTTAAATTTTAAAAAAATAATAATATTTTCCACGTACGTTTTTATTTTATTTTTTAATAACGATAATAATAATAATAATAATTAATTGGATTTTTTATTTTGTAAATTACTATGATAGGATTCGAATTTTTTAATTGCGGATATTAAATCGTCTTTGTATTTTACCGGAACTTCGAAAGCACCGAAATGACCGCCATCTTCTATATCGTTCACTTGTAATAAATTAAGGTATTGTTCTTCTAGAAAGTTCGTCGGTTGCCATAGTAATTCGTGTTCGAAACGAGCACATGCAGTGGGTACCGTTATGGGCAATCTGAAAACACAAAAGAAAAAAAAAAAATTCATTATTTTTATTTTCTAGAATGTTTTATTTAAATTAATTTTTAGTTTGACGTCATCGTTTTGAAATTAACAATTGAGATCATCGGAAAAGTGCACGCGCACGCACACACGCACCCACATTTTGACATTAATAATATTAATTTATCATTCGGCTGTTGTTTTTGTTGTTGTAAATTTGATCATTTCAAAATTAACCAATAAATTAATTTACATTAAATTTAATAATGATGATGATGATGATGATGATAATAATAATAATAATAATAATAATAATAATAATAATAATAATAATAATAATAATAATAATAGAATTTCGTACGATAAAAATTTAAATTTAAAAATACGAATTTTTTATTAATTTTTTTTCGTGAGGGTGTGAAAAAAAATTGAAATTTTTTTTTTTTTTTTTAAATTTCTGGAACGACGATGACGTCGACGATGACGATAGCGATGACGACGACATGACGTCACAAATTATGGAAAAATGCCTTTGATTCGCGTTAATGTTTTTTTAATGAACGATAGGTGCATACTCTCTTTTTAAAAATTTAAATATTTCGGGGATAAGAAGAAAGAATGAGGGGAGAATGAATGAGGGGAGAATGAATGAAGGGAAGAAGGAATGAGGGGAGAAAGAATGACGGGAGAAAGAATGAAGGGGAGGAATAATGAGGGGAGGAAGAAGAATGAGGGGCTATTTAAAATCCGAAAAAATTTTTTAAAAAAAAAATTAACTTACAAATTTAAACCATCCGTCATCGAACGGAGTCCTTCGGAATAAAGCCTTTGTGACGTCATTATTGAATTCGTTATCCAGTATATCATGACGTTATCGAGTAATGAATCGAGTGAATATTTTTTAGTGAGTCCCCCATCTGGTAAATCAATCCATTTTTTATTCGTCCATGTTGAAAATTTTTCCAATATGTATGCGGCAAGACCCGCGGGTGTGTCACTCAGTGCCGAACCTAAAATTTTATTTTTTTATTAATAATAATAATTACGTCCAGTTCTTTATTTTTCCAGTTTGTGTATCATCCATAAATTCAAACAACTCCTTCGACCACGTTCAAGGTTAAAACGTTGAAATTCCATTGAATGTAATTGTTGCAATTTACGTTTTTAATACAACAACATACAAAACCATAGTAATAATAAAAATATTTACATTCCCTACTAAGCAGGTAGAAAAAGAAATTATTGGTTAATTATATCGTCGCCATTTTTTTTTTAATACTTTCATATTAATTATTTTATGTAGTTACTTACCTATTGTATCGGGTTTGGTTGCTTGCAAATGAAAATAACCGGATTCTTTTAGCAAATGCTTAAATACGTTACTTAACGGATACAATTTATCTTTGTAACGGTCTTCGACAACCAAGGGGGGGTACAAAGACCCCAAAAACCATTTTAAATTTGATAGAGGAGTGTTAACAGAACACATCGTGGAATGAAAACCGAGAACGCTAGAAAAAAAAAAAATTATCATCACGATAAATTAATTATTATTATTATTATTTATATAAGAAACGAATTAAAAATCCTACGCTCTTGACCTTATCGTTGTACACAATGTCAAATTAAAACAAGTAAAACGTATATAATAATAATAATAATAAATTAGTTTTGTTTATGGAAAACTCACTTTTCCGGATATAATTGACCCATGTTTTTACCAATGATTGCTCCCCAATCTCCACCGGACACGTAAAATTTATTTAATTTTAAACGTGTCATTAACAATTTCATAACGACAGCAATTTTTTCAGGTCCAAGACCGGGTTTTACGGCACCCGATGAAAATCCATAACCTGGTAAAGAGGGAACGACGACATCGAAAACGAATGGCACGTCATTTTTCGGATTGATCAAATGTGGTATGACGTCATAAAATTCCCTCACGGATCCTGGCCACCCGTGCAAGAGTAACAAGGGTAGTACTTTTTTACCATTTGGATTTTGCGGGCTCGCCCTTATGAAATGTAAGTCCAAACCTGATATGCTCGTTTTAAATTGTGGATATTTATTTAGATAAACTTCTCGATTTTTCCATTTGTAATCGTTTTTCCAATACGTAATGACTTGTTTTAAAAAATTCGTATTGAATCCGTATTGGAAACCCTGATTTAACAATGGCGGAGTATGTGGCTTTTCTAAAAATTGATTAAGCCTTTCGTTTAAGTATTTCAATTCCTAAAAAAAAAAAATTCAAACGGATTACGTAATCCAGTACGATGATGATAATAATTAAATAAATAAATTGATAAAAATTAGAATTCAAATATGGCTTCCACGATCGTAAAAAATTTTTTTATATTTACCGCATCCGGTACGTTTATTTTAAATGGTATAACGTTGTGATTCGGTTGTCTGTTAGATTCCGGTCCCCACCATTCACTTTCATCGGGTACCGGTAATTCGGGTTTGTTTAAATACCCATTGTTTAATAATAACCATAGTAAATATCCTAAAACGACTGAGAAAACGGCTAAAAATAATTTACAACGCGACATTATTATACATAACTCTTTGTTTCAAAAAACTAAAATTATCCGAAACTTGATTACGCTAGCCTATCATCAAACAAACTAACACTCGTTTTATGCTAACATGTTTTTCAATTATCAAAGGTCGTTCAAAAAATATCTCGAAAAGTTTTTAGCCCGATTTAAATTGAACGAACCCGCGAAGTTAACCGATATTTTGTCACTATCGTCAGTAACAACAACGACGTATAAATAAAAAAAAATTTATTATTATTATTATTATTTTTGATAACGACATTTATTAAGTGCGTGTAAAATATCTGATAGATTTTTATCGATCGATCGTTTATCGATGATCGCCTTTACAAATGTCTGTAATATTTAATTTTAAAGAGTTGAAAAAATCAAATTTTTGAGAGCGTGGGGATACTATCGCGATCATTTATTATTATTATTATTATCATCATCATCATTATTATTTGATTTTTTTTAAAATGGCGACGAAAGACTGAGACAAGTCAAACTTTGCACATTAAAAAAAGAAAAAAGTTTTTCATTTAATGACAATAACCTTGGACTAATAATAATTCATCGTAATTATATATGTATATTTTTTTTGCAAGTGTCACGTGATTTTGTCGTGGCGTTAGATTATCATTATTTAAAAAAGCGAGGGAAAATAAAATTTTAAAAAGTTTTAAAATAAACAAACGATCGTCGTCGGCCATTTTTGTTTTTTTTTTTTAATGTCAAGGTTGACTTGATTGGTAAAATAAAAAATACATAAATATTTAAAAATTCGTGATTTCGAATATTAATTTCCGCCATTTTGTTTTTTTTTTTTCGATTTTTGTAAATAAAATAAAAAATAATTATTTATTCGTTGGAAAAATTAATTTAAATCGAATTTAAATTACGACGATGACGCGAAACGCGTTTTTTTTTTTTTTTTTTTTTTTTTAATTTAAATTTTAAATTTAAAAACCTTCGCGGTTTTTTTTTTAAAATGACGTCCCAACTTGTTATGAAAGTAACGAACCCGGATTTCTTTACTTAATTAAATATTAATTATAATTATAATTATTATAGGGATAAAATTAAATTGACAATTTTTTTTTTTTTTTTTTTTTTTTTTTTACACGGGGAAAAATGTCGAAATGTGACAAAAATTTAAAAATTGCGCGACGAATCGTAATACCGGAAATGGAAATTAAAAAAAAAAAAAAAATTTAGGCACGCATAAAAAAAAAAAGATTTTAAAGTTTGTTGAGTTTAAACCTGAGCAGAAAAAAAAAAAATTTCTTTATAAACGTATTTAAAAATTATAAAACAAATTATTTCTTTTTCTTTTTGTCGTCTGATAATGACGACATCAAAAATGATTACGTCATAAAACATAAAAAAAAAGGTTTACAAACTTCATAAAAAAAAAAAAAACTTAATTAGGGAAAATTCGTGTGGGAGTAACTCATTTATTTATTTATTTAATTTTTTTAACGAAAAAATTGTTTTATTATCATCATCATCATCATCATCATCATCATTATCATCATCATCATCATCATTATTTTATCTCAAAATGGCAGTCAAAAAAAAAAAAAAAAACGTCTTATTAAGAAAAATTTTATTTATAAAATATTATCATTATTAGTATTTTTTTTTTTTTTATTTCTATGATAATTAATTAAAATTTTAAATTACGCGCGTTTTTTTAAAATCCGAATTTAATTAATAATTAAAATAATTATTATTATCATCGTTAATTTTTTTTTTTACGCTCGTTTGTTCCATTCGTTAATTCGTTCGTTTGTTTTGTTCGTTTTGTTTGTTTTGAAGAAAATTTAAAATTTTTTTTTTCGCGCGCGCGGTTTTTTTTTTTTAAATTTATAAAGTTTCGTTTTAAATACGATAGAATGCGTTAGTATCGCGACGGGGAAATTTTTTTTTTTTTTATATAATCGCGACAAATTTCTCACACGTTTTATTTTCATCGTCTGCTAAGAGCTCTTTTCATCATAATGTTTATCATACAAAATCGCGTCGTTGTTGTTCGAGAGTTGATTGTTGAAATGTGGGAGAGGATATACGGGAAGGAAAAACCGGAAATCGTGAATAAATGACGTCATAAATTTATTTTTAAAAAAAAAAAATTTAAATTTATTACGATATAAGAAAGACATTTATAAACGAAAAGAAAATTTAAAAACTAAAAATTCACATTTTTTGCTACCGTTCATAAAATTTTTTTTCCGTTAGTTCGTTTTTTCACAGTTATCACAGTTTTTTATTTATTTATTTATTTAATTAATTAATAATCAAAAATAATTTTATCTATTTAATTTAACGAATGATGTAATAAAATAAACGAATAAATAATTATAATAATAGGGATAATAAAATTGACGATGATTCGTAGCGGTCGATTCTGCCAAATGTTCGGAAAATCTATTGAAATCATTTCCCAAACGATTTTTTTTAAAAACTGTAATGAAAAAAAAGAAAGAAATCGATATATCGATTTATATCGATCGATATTATCGATTATTAATGTATTCGTACCTGAATTATTTGAATTACCGCCACCACCGACGCCACCGTATGAGGAAACGGCCGAATGTGGTATGGCTGGAAAAGAAATAATAATAATAATAATATCTGTCTGTCAAAATTGGATGAAAATTAATAAATGTCAAAGGTCACGATGATTTATTATTACGTAATAATTTTTTTTTTTTTTTGAAAAATGAATGAATTAATTAATTAATTAATTAATAATCGTAATCGATATTGATTTATTGAATGTTAATAAGAAAAACGAGGGGGGGGAAGGCGGGAGCGGGGGGACGTTTATGCCTCCTCAAAAAAAAAAAAAATTTACGAATAAATTTTATCATTATTAATATTAATAATTAATTAATAATGTATGTAACTGAGGGAGGGGGAGAGAGAGAGTGTGTAATAATTATCGATCGCGTTGCTAAGGGGGGAGAGGAGGGAGAAGAGGGGATACGGGGGGGGGGGTGACGGTGGTAATTATAATAAATAATAATTTTTTTTTTTTTTTTAAAGGTCGAGTGAAAATTTGCGTACCATTTTTTTTTTTTTATACAAGAGTAATAAAATGACGAAATTAAAAAAAAAAAAAAGTTTTACTATATAAACAAGATTTTATTAACACGCAAATTTATAATAATAATAATAATAATAATAATAATAATAATAATAATAATAATAATAATAATAATAATAATAATAATGATGATGATGATGATGATAATAATAATAATTTTTATTAAGAGCGGCCCTTTTTCTCTCTCTCTCAAAATTTGTTGTAAATCCAAAATTCTTTTTTTTTGATTGAAGTGAGAATTCGATTTATTATTATTATTTTTTTAAAAATCTATTTTCTTTTTCCACGTCATTCATTCTTCTTCTTCTTCTTCTTCCACGTCATTCATTTATTACACGATAAATATGCGACGGGAAAATGTTTTATTAAAAAAAAAAAATTTCGTTGAGAATTAGTAAAAACGAAAAAATGTAAAAAAAATTTTACCTTTAATTATTATTATTATTATTATTTTATTTGGGGGGGGGGGAAATAAAATCGTGAGAGAGGAGAAGGTGGGGATAGGTGGGAAGAAAAGGGAGAAAATGAAAAAAAAGGAAATAAAGGTAATTACTTTAACGAGAAGGATTTAATTGAGGGGAAAAAAAAAATTTTTGAAAAACGAGATGGCAAAAAAAAAAATAAAAAAAAAAATATTTAGATTAATTTAGTATAATCGACTTTAATTATTTGTTTATTATTATTATTATTTTTCGAAAAAATCGACGTGGCAGAAAAATCAAAAACGTAAACAAATTTTTTTAAAAAAAAAAAAAAAAAAAAACGAAAAATTAAAACGATTGATTGACGGTCACGAAATATAAAAAAAAAAAAATTAGTACGTGTAAGAAGACAAATTTATTATTCTAATGACACGACAAAAAAATACTAGGAAAAATTGACGATTAAAGAAAAATAAAAAAAAATTTGTACTCACGATAAAGTTTCATCGTACCCTCAGTGTCACCCAATGAATTTTTCGATATGCATTTGTACGAACCGTAATCTTTTGACGTCACGTTTTTTATGACGAGTCTCATGACGACCTTATATGACGTCTCTTCGAAAACCGGTTTGTATTTCGTACCTGAAATAATAATAACAAACGAAAAAAAAAACAAAAAAACGTTGCAGACGTGGCGAAAAGAAATAGGAATCGGTAAAAACGTATTCGTTCGATCGGAATCCGAGGAGAGGCGGGGAAATGTGGGGGGGGGAAGAGGGAAGAGAAGGGGGCGTGGGTGGAAAAGCGGTGAAAATGGATCTTATCACAACGGATCGTGATAAGGAAAAAAAAAAATTTTTTTTTTCTTACCTTCGTTTAAAATTTCACCTTTTTCTTTAACCCAATAATTAATTGCTCTCGGAAAAGCTTCCGCGTGACATTCTAACGCGACCGCTTGATTTTCCACAGCTCCGACTAATTGTTTTCCCGCCCAAATATTCGGTGGAACTAAAAAAATTTATATATGTATTTTTTTAAAAAATTTTCCCGCCTTTTTTCATAAAAATTAATTTTGAAGGCGGTCATTTAAATACTCACAGTGTACGATAAGAAGAATTCTTTTACTAACGGTTGGTGGTATACCATTTGATGCTATGCAAAGATAAGCACCCATATCGTATCTTGTTACTTTTGGAATGTGTAACATTGTACCTTCGACCGTTTGCACTGTGACGACAAAAAAAAAAAAATTCCCTGAATGTGAGGGAAAAAGTTAAGAAAAAAGGGAAAAATGTCGAGACATACCGAATGATCCGTTACCGAGTGATATCCCTCGAGCAGATTCTCTTCTCCATGCTACCGTTGGTTTAGGTGAACCGGATGCTGCACAACGTAGCGTCACATCTTTTCCTTCTCTCACTACCATATCCATACTTGTTGGATAGTCTAATATGTCCGGTGGAACTAACAAATTTAAAAAAAAAAATTTTATCTAACACATCAAAAAAAAACTTAACGAAAAATTTTATTTACGTTTATAAAAAGGTTTTTACTTTTTTATCGTGGAAGAAGAAATTTTTGGAAAAGGAAATTGACTTTGATCGTTGGAATGTTTATAATTTTTGAAAATTACAAAATTTTATGTTTATGCATTTTAAAATATTTCGACTAAAAATATTTTTTTTTTTTTTTTAAAAAATTTCTATGAAAGGATCATTGAAGAAAAAAGGTTGGAATCCATTTTGTTTTTAACGAAAAATTTAATTTTACGGTACCTGAACGGGTTCCCCCTCCCACTCCCCACCACGGGTGTTAGAAATGAAAATTTTTATTTCCGGTTGAAAAAAAACGGTTGTGGGAAGTGAAAACGATCGGATTTTATTTGTTTTTTTTTTTAGCAGAAGATAACTGGTTGTTATTTGGTTTAGCAGAAGATGGTTGTTGTTTGTTGTTTGTTGTTATTTTAAATCCGGTTTTAATATTCATGAAAAAAATTCGAAATGGAAAAAGTAGAAAAATTTGAAAAAATTCTAATAAAGAGGAGAGACCACGTCATATTATTATCATAAACACAAATTAAATATGGCGGAAAATGTCATTTCCATTGATGATTTTTTTAAATTTGCCCACTGCCTTTTCGAAACGCCACACCGTTTCCCCCCTCCTCCCCCTCCCTCTCCTTCCCCTCCGTTCACACACACATTTTGCATAATTTTTTTTCGTAAAACTTTTTTTTTTTTAGAAAACTAATCGTATAATTTAAAAAAAAAAAATAAAAGTTGTAATGGAGGAGAAGTGGGGGGGGGGCGGGGGGGCGTGAGAGACTAACGGAAAATTTTTTTTCAGGTATATAATCAAAAGGTATTAAATTTTCATTTACCGTCATTTTAAGTATAAGGTGGCGAATTCTTAAAAAAAAAAAAGTTTCATTCGTAATGAATGTCACACACACGAGCGCGTTTGTAGGCGTTGTTTGTATACAAATTTTCAAAAATAAAATCCGTGCGAAATAAAATGAGGAAAGAGAGGGGGAATGGGGGGGGGCGGGAAAGAAAAGGGAGGAATAAAAGGCGTGGAAGTAGAAAATAAAATAATAATAATAATTTGACTACCGGGTTGAAAAATTTATTTGCATAAATATATATATATATGTATGGTAAATGCAATTGCAACTATGAAAAACATTTAAAACGTTTAAATGACGATTAAATTTAGGTTACCGCCTGGTGTTGTCGGTTGTCGGTTGCCGGTTGTTGGTTGTTGTCGGTTGTTGCGGTCGAGTTATACATTAAAATTATTATTATTTTATATAATATTAAACGGGAGTCGTGATGGTGGTGGTGGTGGCGGCGACGGTGGCGACGTTGGCGGCGGTTTGAGTAATAATTTATATTTTAATATTCGTTACGTTTTCCATAGAGAGAGAGAGAGAGAGAGGGAAGGAGATAGAGAGAGAAATGTTTTCTTTCTTTTTCTTACACACATTTTTACATACCTACGACTTGTAAATGTGCCGTTTGACTTTTCATCGGATCCGTATTTATTTGACACATGTACCATCCCTGATCGGTTTCTTTAACTTCTTTTATATGTAACGACCATGTTCTTTGATCGCTATGTGTTATACCAATTCTATGATTTTTCGTTATTACGTGTCCTGCTATTGTAAGTATGGTCTGCGTGTCTACTCTCAACCATGCAACCTGAAACAAAAGAAAGAGTTTTCTTCATAGTATTATACCATTGCATGATGCGTGTTTAACGGCTATATATAAATAAATTAGAGAGAAAAAACGTTTCATTATTCTTGACATTTGAAACGCCACCAGTCATTAAATTTTCCCTTTTTTTTTTATGCATTGACATTTTCCAACGTGGAAAATTTTTTTTTTTTTTTTTATTAAAAATGCCACCCGCTTTTTTTTTTCTCTCTTTCTTTTGTATACCTAAAAAGTGGTCGTTAGTTTTTTTTTTTTTTTTTAAATTATCATCTTTACGAAATCAATTTACTCATTTGTCAGATACAAATTATTATTATTATTATTATTATTATTACGTTGTTGTTGAGGGAAATTTTTTTTGTGACTTGAAAATCGTTAAATGTCGTGTTTTAACGCGAAGACGACGGCATTTTGTGTAAATTAATAGTTTTGTTAAAAGAAATTATTATTATTATTATCATACAGATCGATCAAAGGTATATACAGGCACGTGAACGTGTGGAAATTTATATATTATTATTATTATTATGATACGATTGAAAATGAAAGAAAGAAATGAAGAGATTAATAAATGAAGTGGTTGAAAAAAAAAACTGAAAGAAATATGGCAGACTCGTAGTGAATGAATGAAGAGAGAGAGAGAGAGAGAGAGAGAGGGGGGGATTGAAAAGAAAAAGAAAAAGAACTTTCTAGAAAAATTCACGGCACGAAACATTAATCTTTTTTTTCCCCCCCCCCTTTTTTTTTTTTAACGGTCATCATCATTTATTTCAATGCATATCTTATTATACTTTTTTTTTCTCATTTCCACGTATAATTTTTATTTAATTTACAAATCATCATCATTATCATCATTATCATCATCATCATCGTCGTAATCGTAATTATTATTATTATTATCATCGTTTCAGTTTTTTATATAAAATAATTTATCATAACAAATTAAAAATAATTTTTTTAATTAAAAAAAAAAAAAGGATTGGGAGGGAAAAAAAATTTTTTTTTTATTTAAATTCCCTCGTGGAAAATTTTCTTTTTTTTTAAATTTTCCCTCTAAAAAAAATAATAATAATAATAATAATAATAATGAAAAGGAGGAGGAGGAGAATATAATAATAATGAGGAGGAGGACGAGGACGAGGATGATGATAATTTTTTTAATCATACAAACGATGACGATGAGAAAAGATTATTACGGGGAAAAAAGAAAAATGGCGAGTTGAAGTGAGGGAAAATTTTTCCCTCACGACCAGGGAATTTTTTATTATTATTATGATATTTGTCGAGACGAAAAATTCCCCGTCGGTCGTTTTTGTTTGTACGTTGTATTAACGGTTTAAATTTTTTCTCTCTTTCTTTCTTTTAATACACAAAGGATTTTTTTTTAAACAAAAAAAAAAAAACGCGGGAAATTTATTTATTTGTGTTTATATATATTTAAAAATATTAATAAATTAAATAGAGAGAGAGAGAGAGAGAGAGAAAGAGATAAGACACGAATGAGAAAAAAAAAAGATGGCGATATTTTTAAAGTAATAATTTGAAAGTGAAATTTAATTGAATTTTTTATTATTATCATTTTCCTTTTTTTTTCTTTTGTTTTCTTATTCGTTTATTTATTATTTTTAACCGTTTTTTTTTCTTTTTTGTTTTATTTCCCCCCACCCCCCAAAAAAAGAAAAAACCGTTAAAATATTTTTTTTTTTTAATATTATATACTTTTTTAAATATTGTATATCGGTTAATGATAATATTATTTATCGGATTTATTATTATTATTTTGGTGGGGTAGAGGGAGAGGAGGGAAGGGAGTGGAAGGAAGAGAGAGAGAGAGGTTTTCGTACTAACGATGAATGATAAATATAAAATCGGTTAACGCGTAGTAATAATGAAACGGAAATGGAGTGAGGAGGGAAAAAAAATTCCAGAATATTCTGTAGGTCACGAGTTAAGGAAAATTCGTTCGGAAAAATGACAATGATGATAATAATAATAATAATAATTGTAATTTTATTCTTTTTTTTTTATTAATAAAACGTTTATTTGAAAATTGAATAAATGGATGATGAAATGAACCGTTTAAAAAACGCAAATCGATACGTAAATACGTATAAATAATAATGATAATTTTCCTCGATATCGTGTTTTCATCATTTAACGACGAACGAGTTGTCAAAACATAAAAAATAAAATGTCATCTCGTCATAAATATGGCGGCGATGACGATGATGATGATGATGATGATGAGGGAATTTTTTTCGTTTGTGGGTTCGCACGGGAAAAAACGCAAAAAAAAATCGAACGATAAATAATAATAATAAAAAACGCGGCGTAAATTTTAATCGTTGAATTTATCCCCCTGCCCCCCATTCCCTTCCCCTCTCCATGCTCCTATACATGCCCCCCAAAAAAACGCACGTTTAGTCGGGTATACTAAGTTTTTCGTAAGACTCATAATACGTAATTATTATTTAAAAAAAAAAAAAGGAAAAAAGGAAAAACCTTTTGGGAAATTTAACCTTTTAAATATTTTCCATCGAAAAAACAGGGGAAAAAAAAGGTTTTTTCAGTTTATTTAATTTTGACGTAAATTATTATTAACCTTTTTTCTAAAAATTTTATTTCTTTTACTTGCTTATTGTTATACGTAAATAATATTTTTTTAAAAATCTCATTTTCCCGCCATTTTTTTCACGATTTTGACGATTTTTCTTTCTTAATTATTACTATAATTTTAAAACTTTTATTGAATATATTTTTTATCGAATCGATCGATTATATATATTAAAAATTAATTAATTAATCGATTTATTATTATTATATTTAATTTATTAATAATTGAAATTTAAAGAAAAAAAAAAAATTTTTTTTTACCGGAAACGGAAGTGAAACGAACAATAAAAGTTTGGTTAAATGAAAGTGAGAAAAAAAATGGTGAGAAAGAGAAAAATCTTTTTCGATTTAACTTCCGGTTTAGGTGAGAATCGTTTCTTCGTCAAAAATTTTCTTTTATTTCGTTGCGTGAGTGCGTGCGTGAGTGCGTGAGTGTGTAAATTCATCATTAGAATCGCAAAAATAGGTAAAGAGGTTTTTATTTGTTAACCACTCGTGAATTTATTGATTTTTCAAACGATATCATTATTATTATTATACGTTTTCGAAAAAGAAATTGATAACGATTCTTCTTATTTAAATATTTGAACTTCACTTTCTAGTTCGCGCGTTTTTTAAAAAAAAAAAACGCGCGCGAAATTAAAAAATAATAACTTTTTTTTTTGTCGACAGGTCACATGAAAACGTCATCAAATCTACGTCATTTCCTACGAGACGTAGAACAAAAGAAGTTTAGGTGAGTTTTGTTTTATTTTGTTTTCCCTCAACGCTATAAAAGTTCTTTAATAACGGAAAAAAAAAAATTTAATTTTTTACGCGATAAAATGCCTCTCAGTTCGTAACCGTTATGATAATATAAACATATAAAGATGCGTAAGTAAAAATTAAGTAAATGAAGTGTGCATCGACAAGAAAAAAAGGAAATCGATGATTTTTTTTTCTTTCCATTTCATTCTTATTCTTTTTCCTTTTTTTTCAAAGGAAAAAAGAAAAAGGAAAAATAAAACGTATTAAATCTTATAAAGATGTTAATGAGCCAAAAAAAGAAAAAAATTTTTCTTTTGCTTTTTTTTTTTTTTTTTTTTTTTTGTAAGAAATGGATTATTGTAAATGGAAAAAAGAAAAAAAAAAGTTTTCCTTTTATTTTTTTCCTTTTTTTTATTACATCAAACAGTAAATTTTTTTTATACACATAAAATTAAACTAAACTTAATTAATAAATTTTATAATTTTTTTTTTTTAATAAGAAAATGAGGGAAGGGAAGAGGAGGGGAGGGAAGTGGAAAAAAAAGATTTTCAATTTAAATTTAATTTAAATTTAAATTGTAATTTTTTTATTTTTTTATTTTTAAATTGAAAAATTAAATTACTCGGATTTCTTTTCTTTCTTTTTTGAACGAGGAAAAAAAGGAAAAAAGGAAAAAAGGAAAAAAAGGAAATAAAGGAAAAAAAGGAAAAAAAGGAAAAAAAGGAAAAAAAAATTTTTACTCCATTTATTAAAATATTGTTTTAATATTATTATTAAGTAAAAAAAAATAATAATTGATGATGATGATGATTATTATTACTACGATTATAATAATAATGATGATGATGATAATGATAATATTAACGGTTTTTAAATATTTTTAAGGATAAGGAAAATTTTTTTTTTTTTTTCGATTCGAAATTGGTTTGCTTTTTATTATTTATTTTACGTATTACCTTCGGACGAAACGTTTAAATATTCTATCTAATTAACGTTTATCTAATATTTATTTATTTTTTTTCATTATTGATTCATAATTTATATTTTACGTAACAAGGAAAAAAGGAAAAAAAGGAAAATTGTTAAAATATCGGACGAAACTTCCTCGTTTAATAATATGTACACATTAAATAGAGGGAAAAGGTATTATTCTAATATATATATTTGTTTTGAGGGTTTGAATCGTTTAAACAGTGTTGCCAAATTTAACATCAGGTTCGATAAAACGATACTTTTAAAAAATGGCGGGAAAACGAACGAACGAACGAACGGGAGAGTTTTGATTAGGATTTTGTTATGAAAGGGAGCGAAAAAGTGAAAGAAGATATATGTCTATGAAAATTGATATAATGGAAAAATCGTTGAAATGACGTCATCAAATATATGTGTCGAAAATATAAAAAATTTTTTGTTATTCGTGGGGGGTTTTTCGGGGGGGGAGTTGAACTCTAAAGATGACGATATCGTAGAAAAAAAATCTTAATTTTAACCCGTCGCAAAAGGTCAACAAATCAATAGGAGGGGGAGGGAGCGGAAAAACTAATGACAATCAAATCGTGGCATTAGAATTAAAAAAGCATAAAATATTTTTAACATTTTTTATTTATTTACCTTACGAAAAAAAAAAAAGACGACAGGGGTTGGGGAAATTCGTTAATAAAA